TTAACTCCCACTTTCGCCCATTCAACTCCCATTTTCGCCCACTAAACTCCCACTTTCGCCCCCTCGACACCCACTTTCGCCCATTAAACTCCCACTTTCGCCCACTAAACTCCCACATTCGCCCAATAAACTCCCACATAGTCGTAAACTCGTTAGTCGGAGACGGCGGAGTGTTGGTTCTGCGGTGCGCCCGAGGACGACGTCGAACACACAATTGCGACATGTCCCACGTGGGACGTCCATAGGCAGCGGCTAGTCGAGGCCATCGGACCCGACTTGTTGATACGCGGCTCAGTGAACGGGTTGCTCCGCGGACCTCGGGAATGGTCCGTGATCTCGCGATTTTCAGAAGCGGTCCTACAGACGAAAGAGGACCACAACGAAAAAAGAAAAGGGAAGAAGAAAAAAGAAGGAAAACAACGGCGGCATCGGCGGTGAAGAGGAAACAATCAACGCCTGATCATCCGTGGAGTACGGCGACGAACTTAGCTTTCTTGGGGGCTCGTCGATCCCGGACGATCCCTCGTCTGTCTTTCTCCTTCACAATCCCGTTTACCTTGTATTAGATGATGCGATCAACTAACACTTAACTTTTAACTTTGCCCTTTTCAGGAGACGACGGTAAGTCTTTATCCCCCATCCGATCGCATTCTCAGGAAACAGGCGAGTTGCCCATCTTTTCCCCCCAGCGAAGGACCGGAGGACACTCCCGAAAGGGACTTGCCGAACGTCCTGGGAAATGCGTTCTCGTCTTCGAGGTGACCGCGGAACGAAGACTAGGGCGAATCTCCCACCAAAGTAATCGTGTAGAACGGTAACGTTCTGGCTTCCCGGAGAGGGGACTGACTGAAATGTAGGTACGACCCCAACGAACGTCCTCCCCTCTTTATATAAGCCACGCTATTGCGACATGCTCAGGAGTTTTAGTGGGTATGGTTCCCGGTTAGGCCTTCTCTCGATTCCCATATTGAGCCCCACACTCCCTCTGTAAAAGGAGGGGTTGAGCGTAATCTGCATTTCTCCTGAGATATCAAAAAAAAAAAAAAAAAAAAAAAAAAGACCCCCCAAGGTTATGTGTCAAGCTTCTTTTGGCACCCAAGACGCCGCAGACGGTTTTCGACGCACGTATGTGACACACCTAGCTTCTTTGCAATGTCCCTTGTCGAACTATGCCGATCATTAACAATTATGGCCTTTATTTGGTCATCATCGACCTCCACTGGACCTC